CCAGAGCGCCCCCCCCCCCCCCCCCCCCGGCCCGGCAGCATAGGGGGATTCTGGGAGTGGCAGTCCCAAAAGAAGTGCCTTCCCCAACCCCAGAAAAGCTGACAATGAACAGGAGGTGCTGTAGGCTCTATTTCAGTGGAAGGGATTGGCAGAACTGCCAATCGAGAACCGAGTAAGCCTTCCTTAAGAATTTATTTATTTATTTATTGGCTGCATTTTACCCTGCTCTATTTCCACCCCGAAGGCGACCCAGAGCGCTCTCCAGATTGGCAATAATTCAGTGTCACATTAAATATAAAAACATACAAGTCCAATTTACAATATACATTAACATCATAAAAAGTCATAAAAACAATGACATATAAATACACTACATACACTGTTAAACATTGCACGTAGACCTAAAATCTTAGTCCAGAAGCTATTCCAAACTGCGTTACATTCCATTCACTTCATATCTGCATGTTAACCCTGTGCTACTCCCCAAACGCTTGATCCCAGCCAGGTTTTAACTTTTTTTTCTAAAGGACAAGAGAAAAGGTGCCAACCTGATTTCACTAAGGAGGGGGTTACACAGCCGAGGGGCCATCACTGAAAGGCCCTGTCCCTTGTCCCCACCAGGCGCACCTGTGAGGGGGTGGGATCCAGAGCAGGGCCTCCCCAGAAGATCTTAGCATTCAGACTGTTTCATGGAGGGAGATACCTAAAGACAGGTAACCTGGGCCAGAACTGTTTAGGGCTTTATAGGCTAAAGCTAGTTAAATTGTGCTTGGTAGCAAATTGGCAGCCAGTGCAACTGGGATAACAGGAGGGTTGTATGCTCCCTGTACTCCACTCTGGTGAGTAATCTCGCTGCCGCCCATTAAAACACTTGAAGCTTCTGAATAGCCTTCAAAGGTAGTCCCACTTAGAACGCACTGCAGTAGTCTATTCGGGATGTAACTAGAGCATGGACTACTGTGGCCAAGTCTGACTTTCCGAGGTATGGGCACAGCTGGCACACAAGTTTTAATTGTGCAAAAGCTCTCCTGGGCACTGCTGAGACCTGGGATTTCAAGCTTAGAGGTGAATCCAGGAGGACTCCCAAGTTGTGAACCTGTGACTTCAGGCGGAGTGTAATCCCACCCAGCATAGGCTGTACCCCATGCCATGTTCGTATCAGTGTAATGTCAATACATATTGTACAGGTTTAAAATGTCCATGCTGCTACCTGTGAAAGAGTTCATCTTTGGAACATTATGAAGTATGCTTAAAACGGACAAGGAAGATGTTGCAATAGACTAGGAGACTGGTTTTTTTTTTTTCCGTGTCAGGAGCGACTTGAGAAACTGCAAGTCGCTTCTGGTGTGAGAGAATTGGCCGTCTGCAAGGACGTTGTCCAGGGAGCATCCAGATGTTTTGATGTATTACCATCCTTGTGGGAGGCTTCTGTCATGTTCCCGCATGAAAGCTGGAGCTGACAGAGAGAGCTCATTCGTGCTCTACCCGGATTTGAACCTCTGACCTATCGGTCTTCAGTCCTACTGGCATAAGGGTTTAACCCATTGCGCCACTGGGACCTCGTGAATTAATGAGCTGATAACAGTAGGGTATAAATATAGTAGATGCCATTTGTTCTGTCTCTTTGCTCTTCTCTCTTGAATTGAGACCTTGCGAACAAGTGTTATTGCAATGAATGAAATGTAAATAAAGATAAGAGCCGCTGTTGAAGCAGAAACAACTGTGTGAAGTCAGTTATTTGGATGATAAGAAGCAAGTTGACCAGCAAATTGCATTGACTGACCAGGAGTACCTCTGTCTTGTCTGGATTCAATTTCAATTTGTTTGCCTTCATCCAGACCATCACAGCTGCGAATAAATACTAATAATACTAATAATAATACTACCCTGCCTCCATCTCCCCAAAGGAACTTGGGGCAGCTTACACAATAAAATAAAATAACACATTAAAATATATAATTGCAACATAAAACAAAATAAAACATTATAACAAGATATAAAAACAAAACATCAGCCAACAAACAATGAGTTCTATGATAACAATCAATTTCTGGGTATGGGTGGGAGGACTGGTGCAAGGACAGGTGGGAGGATAGGACTGATGGATAAAGTGTATTGATCACATGACAACAGTGAAAATAGAGGGCAGTATGAGAATAGAACATTATGAATTTAAGTTTGGTTTTTTTTTTGGTCGTGTCAGGAGCGACTTGAGAAACTGCAAGTTGCTTCTGGTGTGAGAGAATTGGCCGTCTGCAAGGACGTTGCCCAGGGGACGCCCGGATGATTTGAAGCCTTGTGGGAGGCTTCTCTCATGTCCCCGCATGAGGAGCTGGAGCTGATAGAGGGAGCTCATCCACCTCTCCCGGATTCGAACCTGCGACCTGTCGGTCTTCAGTCCTGCCAGCACAGGGGTTTAACCCACTGCGCCACCGGGGGCTCCATGAATTTAAGGGCAGAACAATAATAAAATGCATGGACAAGATTTTTTGGGGGTTGTCTAGTCAAAGGCAAAGCAGAACAACCACATCTTTAAAACTTTGCGGAAGGTGGACAGGGTGGGTGCTAGACTAATCTCCTTGGGGAGGGAGTTCCAGAGCCAGGGGTCCACCACCAAGAAGGCCCCCTCTCTTGTTCCCACCAACAGTGCCTGAGATGGAGGTGGGAGCAAGAGAAGAGACTCCCCAGATGATCTTTGAGATCGTGCTGGGTCGTAGGGGAAAGGAGCTCCACTGGCTGTCGTTTATTTTCCGAGCCCAATTTAAGGTGCAGGTGCTTACCTACAAAGCCCTAAACGGTTTGGGACCATCCTACCTGCGTGACCGCATCTCCGTTTATGAACCCACGCGCTCACTTCGTTCATCCGGAGAGGCCCTGCTCGTGATTCCGCCTGCGTCGCAGGCGCGTTTGGTGGGGACGCGAGACAGGGCCTTTTCTGTGGTGGCCCCCCGACTCTGGAACACCCTCCCAAAAGATCTTAGACAGGCCCCTACATTGGCAGTCTTCAGAAAGAACTTGAAGACCTGGCTGTTCCGATGTGCCTTCCCAGATTAGGAAATCTCCAATACCAAGTCCCAGAAGCACTTTATTAGAACTAAGATTGCTGCACACTGCACTTACCCTATAATCCTTACATATCACCTGTCACATCAGCACTTTTAATCCTGTACCCATTACTCTGGCCCGGCCCAGTTTTAGTGTCTTGATGTATTGTTTATTGCTTGTTGTTTAATATTGCTTTAATTGTTTTTAATTTGCTTTAGGTGTTGTATTGTTATGTTGTGTTTTGAGGCCTTGGCCTTTGTAAGCCGCATCGAGTCCTTCGGGAGATGCTAGCAGGGTACAAATAAAGTTAATAATAATAATAATAATAATAATAATAATAATATATATATAGAGATGTTCTGTGCATAATGAGTACCTTAAAAGCAAAAGAACCGATGAACGAAATCACACCAAATTTGGCAACAAAACGTCTCACAACACAAGGAGTGACCATCACTCACAAAATTATGATTTTGTCATTTGGGAGTTGTAGTTGCTGGGATTTATAGTTCACCTACAATCAAAGAGCATTCTGAACTCCATCAACGATGGAATTGAACCAAACTTGGCACACAGAACTCCCATGACCAATAGAAAGTACTGGAAGGGTTTGGTGGGCATTGAGTTTGGGAGTTGTAGTTCACCTACATCCAGAGAGCACTGTGGACTCAAACAATGATGGATCTGGACCAAACTTGGCACAAGCACTCAATATGCCCAAATATGAACACAGATGGAGTTTGGGGAAATAGACCTTGACATTTGGGAGTTGTAGTCACTGGGATTCACAGTTCACCTACAATCAAAGAGCATTCTGAACCCCACCAAACAGAATTGGGGCAAACTTCCACACAGAACCCCCATGACCAACAGAAAATACTTAAGGCCATCCAGTCCAACTCCCTTTACCAGGGCAAGAAAAAGTAATCAAAGCCCTCCTGACAAAGAGCCATCCAGCCAGAGATATAGATAGATATGATTCACACAAACAGAGATATAGTATCATAGATTTGAAAGGGACCCCTAAAGAAGGACAATAATATGTTGCATGTTCCAGGGTGGGCAAACCAGACACTCTCCACATCAACGCTGACAAAGAAACAGCAAGAAATACTGTTTACTCACAAGCATAAGAAATTACATATATTAGAAACCAACACTTTCTCATTACTTTATTTTCCAGATCAACAGACAGGGCCACAGCAACGCGTGGCAGGGGACAGCTAGTAATAATAATAAAGGTCCCGAACCGTTTAGGGCTTTATAGGTAATCTGCACCTTGTATTGGGAGCGGCAACTTATCGGGAGCCTGTGGAGCTGTTTAAACAGAGGGGTTATCCGCTCCCTGTAATTTGCTCCTGTTAACAAATGCACAAAATACTACAAGTGCATAAATAATAACACAAAAGCAGCAACAACATCATAAAACCCCAGTGGTTAAAATCAATCAAATGCAACAGTAACTGCAGGTACAAAAAAAACTGCAATCAATATCAGTCTCATAAAGTGCAAGGTGAAATAATCTCTGGATCCTGGAATATGATCATGAATATGAACCAAGCACCGGTTCAGGACTTGGAAAGGGTGGAAAGAAAACCCTATCACAGGCATGAACCAGCGTGAGCTGGGAGGAATTGTGGGGGTTGAAGTCCAAGGGCTGCCAAGGGACAGGAGGTGTTGCAGGCTCCATTTCGGAGAAGGCGCCAGCAAGGCTTGCCACCAGGGGAAGGCCTCCCCCCCCCCCCCCGGTTGCCCCTCTTGGGCCTCCCGCACTCAGGCAGCCGACCAGGCCTCAGACCTCCCTCAGCCCGAGCCTTCTCAGGCCCAAAACACGGACCAGGCCCAGGCTTCTGAGCCTGCCACGCTTCCCAGCCGGCTCCTCGCAGGTCCGGCCCTGCAGGGCTCGTCAAGCCAAGCCCGCCCGTGTCCCCCTGTTTCATTCTCTTTCCTTTTACCTCAGAGCCGCCGCGGCGCTCTCTGCTCCCGGCCGCCATTATCAGGCTCCCTTCCCCTCGCTCGCCGTTCTGCGTGCGTCCTTCCGTGCGTGGTGTACGTCCGCCCGTGCGCGCGCGCTCCCGCTCCCCCGTCCTGATTGGCTCCTTCAGGGCAAGTGAGGGCGGGGCCTCGGCTTCCCCCCTGACAAGCCGGGGGAAGCAAGAAAGCAGGCGCGCGCTCGCCCTTCCTGATTGGCCACTTCCGGGCAAGAGGAGGCGGGGCTTCGGCTTCTCCCTGACAAGCCGGGAGTAGCAAGTCGGCACGGAAAAAGGCGCGCTCCTCCTTCCTGATTGGCTACTTCTAGGGGCGAGGAGGAGGAGCCAAGAGAGGAGGCCAGGCGCATGCGCGGCTTCAGCCTAGCCTGTGTCCTAGGGTTTTGTTTCCCTCTGTAATTAATGTTGTTTAAGAATGGAATTTACTGATTTGCTTGGCTTTTTTTCAAAGGGCGATGAAAGAAGAGAATTGAAATCCACAAGCATGTGGACAATTTCAACAGAAAGGAAGAAACCATGAAAATGAACAAAATCTGGCTACCAGTATTAAAAAACTCAAAAATTACAACAGCAAACAACAGAGGGGAAACAAACAGGCACATAAAATCACTCTCAACAAAAGATTCCCCCAGGCACTTCCAAGCCATTAAATGCTAATCAAGGTGGTCAGTTGAAACATTCACACCTAGCTCCAGCAGACAAAAGTCCTTTGTCCCACCCTGGTCATTCCACAGATATATAAACCCATTTTCCTACTTCCAACAGACCTCACTACCTCTGAGGATGCTTGCCATAGATGCAGGCGAAACGTCAGGAGAAATGCCTCTAGAACATGGCCATAGAGCCCGAAAAAACCCACAACAGAATGGAAGGAACCATGAAAATGAACAAAATCTGGCTACCAGTATTAAAAAACTCAAAAATTACAACAGCAAAACAACAGAGGGGAAACAAACAGGCACATAAAATCACTATCAACAAAAGATTCCCCCCAGGCACTTCCAAGCCATTGAATGCTAATCAAGGTGATCAGCTGAAACATTCAAAGCTAGCCCCAGCAGACAAAAGTCCTTTGTCTCACCCTGGTCATTCCACAGATATATAAACCCATTTTTCTACTTCCAACAGACCTCACTACCTCTGAGGATGCTTGCCATAGATGCAGGCGAAACGTCAGGAGAAAAATTGCCTCCAGAACATGGCCATATAGCCCGGAAAAACCTACAACAACCCAGTGATTCCGGCCATGAAAACCTTCGACAATACAAAGAAGAGAATGCTCAGCTCTTGTCATTAAAGCTAGGGCCCCTTCCACAAAGCTTGATGAAAAACAAAAGGTGCATCAGGTTGTTGTAGGTTTTTCTGGGCTATATGGCCATGGTCTAGAGGCATTTTCTCCTGACGTTTCGCCTGCATCTATGGCAAGCATCCTCAGAGGTAGTGAGGTCTGTTGGAACTAGGAAAAAGGGTTTATATATCTGTGGAATGACCAGGATGGGACAAAGGACTCTTGTCTGCTGGAGCTAGGTGTGAATGTTTCAACTGACCACCTTGATTAGCATTTGATTGCCTGGCAGTGCCTGGAGCAATCTTTTGTTGAGAGGTGATTAGATGTCCTTGTTTGTTTCCTCTCTGTTGTTGTGCTGTTCTAATTTTAGAGTTTTTTTTAATACTGGTAGCCAGATTTTGTTCATTTTCATGGTTTCCTCCTTTCTGTTGAAATTGTCCACATGCTTGTGGATTTCAGTAGCTTCTCTGTGTAGTCTGACATGGTGGTTGTTAGAGTGGTCCAGCATTTCTGTGTTCTCAAATAATATGCTGTATCCAGGTTGGTTCATCAGGTGCTCTGCTATGGCTGACTTCTCTGGTTGAAGTAGTCTGCAGTGTATCCCAATGGGTTTGGCATAATCATAGAATCAAAGAGTTGGAAGAGACCTCATGGGCCATCCAGTCCAACCCCCTGCCAAGAAGCAGGAATATTGCATTCAAATCACTGACAGATGGCCATCCAGCCTCTGTTTAAAAGCTTCCAAAGAAGGAGCCTCCACCACACTCCGGGGCAGAGAGTTCCACTGCTGAACGGCTCTCACAGTCAGGAAGTTCTTCCTCATGTTCAGATGGAATCTCCTCTCTTGTAGTTTGAAGCCATTGTTCTGTGTCCTAGTCTCCAGGGAAGCAGAAAACAAGCTTGCTCCCTCCTCCCTGTGGCTTCCTCTCACATATTTATATATGGTTATCATGTCTCCTCTCAGCCTTCTTCAGGCTAAACATGCCCAGCTCCTTAAGCCGCTCCTCATAGGGCTTGTTCTCCAGACCCTTGATCATTTTAGTCGCCCTCCTCTGGACACATTCCAGCTTGTCAATATCTCTCTTGAATTGTGGTGCCCAGAATTGGACACAATATTCCAGGTGTGGTCTAACCAAAGCAGAATAGAGGGGTAGCATGACTTCCCTAGATCTAGACACTATGCTCCTATTGATGCAGGCCAAAATCCCATTGGCTTTTTTGCTGCCACATCACATTGTTGGCTCATGTTTAACTTGTTGTCCACGAGGACTCCAAGATCTTTTTCACACGTACTGCTCTCAAGCCAGGCGTCCCCCATTCTGTATCTTTGCATTTCGAGACTCATAGTGTGTACCTTAATGAGTACCTTAAAAACAAAAGAGCCAATGAAATCACGCCAAATTTGGCAACAAAACGTCTCACAACACAAGGAGTGACCATCACTCAAAAATTACGATTTTGTCATTTGGGAGTTGTAGTTGCTGGGATTTATAGTTCACCTACAATCAAAGAGCATTCTGAACTCCACCAACAATGGAATTGAATCAAACTTGGCACACAGAACTCCCATGACCAACAGAAAATACTGGAAGGGTTTGGTGGGCATTGACCTTGAGTTTGGGAGTTGTAGTTCACCTACATCCAGAGAGCACTGTGGACTCAAACAATGATGGATCTGGACCAAACTTGGCATGGACACTCAATATGTCCAAATGTGAACACAGATGGAGTTTAGGGGAAATAGACCTTGACATTGAGGAGTTGTAGTTACTAGGATGTATAGTTCACCTACAATCAAAGAGCATTCCGAACTCCACCAACAGAAAATACTGTGTTTTCTGGTGGTCTTTGGTGACCCTTCTGACACCCCCCTGGTGACCCCCCCCCCCCAGGGTCTTGACTTTCCAGGTTGAGAAATGCTGCCTTAAGGCCATCCAGTCCAACTCCCTTCACCAGGGCAAGAAAACATAATCAAAGCCCTCCTGACAAAGGGCCATTCAGCCATTCACACACACACACACACACGTATATGACAGATGCAGTATCAAAGATTTGAAAGGGACCCCTAAAGAAGGACAATGATATGTTGCATGTTCCAGAGTAGGCAAACCAGACACTCTCCACATCAACACTGGCAAAGAAACAGCAAGAAATACTGTTTACCCACAAGCATAAAGAAATTACATATATTAGAAACCAACACTTTCTCATTACTTTATTTTCCAGATCACCAGACTGGGCCACAGCAACGTGTGGCAGGGGACCGCTAGTTTCGTATAATTTTATATAATTCAAAATTTGGGGGTCAGATTTCATGATAAGATGCTCACACTTGAGTATTGGATCCAGTCCATGTTTTGGATCCAGGTCCTAACTCCATCCATGGAGGACATGACACCATTCTACAACATCTCCTTTCACAGGTGAGTTAGAATTTGGACACTGACAAGTTCAGATTGACCAGATGTCCCAGTAGTCTGTGAAATAATACAACAAGCTTTCACTGTCAGATTTCCTAGGATCTCTTGATGCTCTTTGTAGGAAATGCCCACTCATTTAGGGGCTGATCGAACATTCTTGGTCATGTCAGCAGGTTGCTTGTTGTTGTTGTTGTCATCATCATAGTTATTGTTAGCTGCCTTCAAGTTGACTGCCTTCAGCTGACCCTATGAATGAGAGACATCCTGTCATAAACAGCTCTATTTAAATTTTGTAGACTCCGGACATCTATTGCTTCATTGATTGAGTCTTTCCATCTGAAACAGGCAAAAGATAATAATCCCTTATTTTTAATTTTAAGAGAAAACATACAAGACTAAGGATTTATCTACACCAGTGTTTCCCAACCTTCATAATGCTGCAGCCCCTTAATACAGTTCCTCATGTTGTGGTGACCCCCAACATAAATTATTTTTGTTGCTACTTCATAACTGTAATTTTGCTACTGTTATGAATCGTAATGTAAATATATGATATTCAGGATGTATTCTCAAAAAATGGATTTTGTCATTTGGGAGTTGTAGTTGTTGGGATTTATAGTCCACCTACAATCAAAGAGATTCTGAACTCCACCAACGATGGAATTGAACCAAACTTGGCACACAGAACTCCCATGACCAACAGAAAATACTAGAAGAGTTTGGTGGGCGTTGACCTTGAGTTTTGGAGTTGTAGTTCACCTACATCCAGAGAGCACTGTGGACTCAAACAATGATGGATCTGGACCAAACTTGGCACAAATACTCAATATGCACAAATGTGAACACTGGTGGAGTTTGGGGAAAATAGACTTGACATTTGGGAGTTGTAGTTGCTGGGATTTATAGTTCACCTACAATCAAAGAGCATTCTGAACCCCACCAACGATAGAATTGGGCCAAACGTCCCACACATAACGCCTACGCTTTGAAGGGACTTGCTGGCGTGAGCCTCCCACCTCACATGCTCTCCCACGCCCACACATGCGCACCACGCTGCCATGCCCCGAGCACACCTGTTCTCCTCTTCCCATTTAGAGTCTCAGAAACATATCTCCCTTTGGCTGAGAGGCTGGTCAATCACAATGGAGGAGGGCTTTGGTGGGAGTATTCTCTGTCTGTTTCCAAAAAGGAAATGAAGGACAGGGGGAGAGATCTTCAGCCTCCTCTGCCAAAGGGGATCCTAAGACCATCATAAATATATGTTTTCTGATGGTCTTTGGTGACCCCTCTGAAATCTCCTTGTGACCCCCGCCCCCAGGTTGAGG